GTTTAATATCCACACCGAAAAGTGGGTAATGCTCACTAACACCTGCCTTGTTAACGACATTCTTAGTGTTGTACGTAATCCACAAGTGTCTCCGAGGTAAGTCTATGTTTTTCCTTTTTATCATGTTTGTTTGTAAGTTTTACGGAGGGAGAAGATTTGTTTTGTGTATATTGTTGTACTCTAATGAATGTTTACATAATTGCTATAATAGGTTCTATATTTTATGCCCGTCTGTTCCCCCCCAGTTGAAGCTAGTGTAGCAGTTTGAATTTTGGAACTTCCACCTACTGTGATATTTATATTACTGCGTAAATTATTGAATATCTGACATTTAAGTGTCCCTGTGTATTATTTCACTTTGTGTACGTTGTAAATTATGTATTATCACAATGATTTATGTGCAATATAGGTTGTGCATTACTTGATTTTTTTTAGGTCTTCTATTTGTTGACTCAACCATAGAGTTTGACCAAATATATACCCTGTGGTTTCAATTCATCAGAAACTGTTTGCAATGATTGATCTCTCTGTGCATTTTATCTGCCACCCAGTTCATTCATATTCCTCTGGGTTTGCAAATTTTGTCTTTCTCTCATCTAGAAAGTTTGTTAATGGATTTTTTCCTCTTTTTTAATGGAACTTATGAGGAAAGGATTTATGATAAGTATTAGAAGAAAAAATGAAAAAATAAATAACAGATATTTTTCCCCAACAGAGTTGCAATAGTAAGATACTGAATCACATTGCAGAATGAAATGTATTTAATTATTTTTAAGAGCAATTTTTCCTTTAGAATTCAAAATTTAAAATCTTTTTGGCAGAGCTTGTCTTTGCAAAACATTAGGTATGAAGTAACATTTCAGAAAAGTAGTTTTGATTAGATAAAAGTAGAATGTGTGGCCAAAAAAATTATATTGGTAATTTAAGCACTTCAGTAATTAAACCTTTTTTTTTCTTTTTTAATACAGTTTATCACAAACAGAAAGATCAGTTTTCCTAGAAAGAACTAATGCAATGAAATGGAAATTTTCAGGTTACACGAAATTGCAACGGACTGCATATGTTCCGCCATGATCATGCTGGAGGCAGAGCGCATCCAGCCACTTGCCGAGGTCTTATTTGCGGGCGTCCTGCAGCTCGGTGAACCTTACCACCTAGCAGTAGCACTGGAGGATCTCAATGCTATCACTAACTATGCCAGGTGAGTGTTACTGTGTTTAGCTGACTCGTTCATTTTATTATTATTTTATGCATTTTATTTTAATTTGTTTAGATGTTTATTTACTTTGTTTGTGTCTATCTCTGTCTGTCTATAATTTTCTCCTCCTCCTCCTCCTCCTCCTCCTCCTCCTCCATAGTCTCATGGTTAAGTTTTATACATACTCTTCACCAGTTCAGAGTATTGAATTCATTGCCACTTTGGATATATTTTGGAAATGTATGCTTTGAGAATTTGCTCCCACTACTTACAAAGATTATTTTATTTTATTTCTAGATATCATGAGTTTATTTTTCTTTACTCTCTCTCTCGCAGAATTTTCTCCGAACTCGGAGAAACGTTGGTCGAGGTGATGGTCGATCAGCCAGGGCAAGGCATGGGATCTCTTCAGGTTCTGCATCTGCTTCTCACCTGTATTGGACATCATGACTGGGAGGTGAGATTTGGGCTCGACAATTGTGCAAATAGTTTTTTCTTTTATTGTTTTTTTTCATTTTAGTATTTTTAGTGTTCTCTGTTAGCTTGTTTGTTTCTTTTTCTTCTCTGAGTTATTCTTCATCAGCGTTTGCATCTTTTAGTTGTTATTTTTTATTATTCTTTGTTGTCTTTCTTTTGATCGATTCTATTGCTGCTTTGTATCTTCTTGTTCTTATTCTTATTCTTGGTGCTCTTCCTTCTCTTTGTTGTTGTTCTTTTTATTTATTTATTTTTTTCCATCTAATTATTATTGCAATGGTTGTCATTATTCTTTCTCTAATTGTTAGTATTAGTATTACTTTAGGTCTTATTTTTCCAGGTCTAACTCTTATTCTAGTTATTATTATTATTATTATTATTCCTGCTGTAGAGTTTATAAGTGTCATCTTGCTCATTTATTGCATGGGAAAATTAAATACAGCTGTCTATGTTTGCCATCAACATTGTTCTATATGATGTTTATCTAATATTTGCTTTCCTCTAGGTTGCCGAGATCACCTTTAACTTTTGGTACAAATTATCAGAAGTATTGTATCGGAAGAACTGTGACAATGTGAATGAACAGTTCAAGCCCTATGTCGAGCGTCTGATAGAAGCCTTGTACCGGCACTGTCAAATTGAACCTGACCATGTGAGTTTTGTTTATTAGTGAATTTCTGTCTGAATGTTATATATTAAGTTGGTAGAGGTCAAGTTATGTGTTTCTGTGTCACGAAAGGATATATTGATTGGTTTATACTCGAGTTTTGTTTAATTTTTAATCTGTCTGAAAGTTGTTTATTAGGCTTGCCTCAGTTGGTAGATGTTATAAGTTATGTGTTTCTGTGTCACGAAAGGATATATTAAATGGTTTATACTCGAGTTTTGTTTATTTTTTAATCTGTCTGAACGTTATTTATTAAGCTTGCCTCAGTTGGTAGAGATCAAGTTTTGTGTTTCTGTGTCACGAAAGGTTATATTAATTGGTTTGTACTCGTTTCTTGCAGGAGAATATTTTGCTACAACAAGATGATTTCTATGAATTCCGGGAGCGCGTACAGGAACTGATCAAGGATGTGGTATTCATATGCGGGTCGAAGCCATGTTTCCAGCAGATGTCGAATATATTGCAAGCCCCAGATGTCACGAAAAGTTGGAATCTTCTCGAAGCTGCACTCTTCATAATGCAGAGTGTTGCAAAGAACCTCGTCCCGTAAGTGTTTTCAAGGAGCTTCTTGATTATGCAGTTAAATGTTTGTAAAAGACTATAATCAATTTTGATCTAGATTCTAATAAAGTATGGTAGTTGAGTAATGCATGGAATTATATGGTGTATCGATCTTGGTGAAGGAAAAAGAAATGGTTTAATCATAAGAGAGAAAAGCAAAACTGAAGAAAAAATATAAAAAAGTAGCCATTAGCTTGCTTTGGGTAGATTTCTGGAAAATATTTATATAGAAGGGAACTGATGAAAAAATATGTATGCAATAAATCTTATTTGTAATATACTTTCCCTAATTATTATTTATATGATGTAATTTTTGAAAGTACACATAATTCTTGGAGTTGGTGAAGGTAGATATGGAGTACATTAATTGCAAAACAATTTAGAGGTAATAGTAATAAATACATGTGTCCAGGTTATGTACATGTTTTGTTTCACAGTTTACATACTGAATAAATTTGCTATTATGATTTATCTGGTAATTCAGCATTCAGGTTTGCAGGTGGTTGAGATTTTGTAAAGCTCAAGGTCTAAATTATGTGGTATTGGTATTTGTTACAGTAATAAACTTGATGATTGTTATAGCTTGTTAGAACTGGGCTTAGTGTTTGTTGGTTGTGGAAGTGTTAGAACCCTGGTGAATATGAACATATGATAATATATTATTTTGAAAAGTAGTCAGAATTCTTAGAGAAATAGATTTCTCGGCTTAATGAAGTGTGTTCTTTTTTCCCTCCCCTCTCGGTCAGAAGGATTGACAGTAATTTAATGGTACAATCTCATCCCAGGGAGGAGAATGAGGTGGTCCCACCTATTTTAGAAGCCGTTTTAAAGCAGCCAGATGAGGTGCACATGCAAGTGGCATTTACGTCGGTCCAGCTGCTCGCAGAATTGAATGAGTGGATTGCCTGTCACCCCGATGTCCTTCCTCTCGTTCTTCAGTTCCTCACCAAAAGGCTACACAATAAACATCTGGCCACGGTTGCAGCTAAGGTGTGCATTCATTACGGTTTGTTATGATGGTTGCAGATGGTTATGATGGTTCATTCCGGTTTGTTATGGTGGCTATACATGTGACATGGCAGCAACAGGTTAAAAGAGGTCAAAATGTATTTGTATATGCAAATCGTATTTAGTAATTGTAATAAGTATTTCAATTAATGTGGTAATTGCATTAAGTATTCCAATTAATGTAGTAATTACAATAACTATTTCAGTTAATGTAGTAATTGCAATAAGTATTCCAATAATATAGTAATTGCAATAAGTATTTCAATTAATGTATTCTTTCCCCATGCATTTCATTTGCAGGCCTTGGATGCAATATGTCAGAGTTGTCGTGACCATATCGAGCAACATTTTGAAGGACTGATGCAAATCATAGAATCTCTCGATTCATTCAGCATTAGCAATGAAGCTGTTGTAGGACTTCTGAAAGGTGTTGCATCAATACTTGGTAGATTTCCGCCAGAGAGAATAAAAACGGATATGAAAAAGTTATGTTTATCTCAAGTTAGAAATTTGCAAAAACTAATGGAGGTAAGTCTTTTATTTTGTTTATTTAATTATGTATTGAAATGCATTTTTCAACAATACTTTTTAAGATATCTGAGCAGACTCTCAAACTATATTCATGCCCGGGAAATTTTTTGGACTTTGTTACTTTAAAAATTTGTTTGTATGTATGGAATGTTCATAAGTTGATTTGTTCTTAAGTAGGGGACTATCTGTATATATAAAATATGATATATATATATAATCCTTTTATTCAGTTTTACTTAATTACTCTCACTGAGATTGTAATGCACTAATCACAATTACAGGAAAATGCTCCTATAGAAAAGAATACGAAAACTGACCCTGTAGTGTGGCTGGATCGGCTAGCGGCAATCTTTAGAAATGTAAATCCCATTGTACAGAATGGAGAGCAGCATCCATGTCAAGAGGTTGTAATGGAGGTGAGTTTGCCATGTATTCTTTGTTTGGATGAATTATAGTTGTTGATTCATTTACGTGTGCAGAATTATAGTTTGATTTTGTTATGGGATTTTAGTGTTCGTTTATCTTTCCATTGTTAGTTTTCAGAATTTATTGACTAGTTTACTTTATTACTTTGGTTACTAGTTGATTTTTATTTTGTTTATTCACTTGGGTTATTTGTTTATTTATATCATCAAATTTGTTTACTTTTTTCCAGGTATGGCCTACTCTCTCAATGACTTTCCAAAGGTATAGCTCAGATTTACGGGTAATGGAACATTGCTGTCGTAGTTTACGGTTTGCAGTGCGTTGCGTCCATCAACAGTCAGCACCGCTCTTGTCGCCTCTCGTAGAACAGGTGGGAAGCTACTAATATTCCTTTTGAATTTTGAGTTAGTGTGCTTTTAAAAAATAGAAAAACTTTATGTGGGTACTGATAGCTGAAGTCTTGATTGCAGTGTGCACTAAATGCCATTCTGTTTTGTGTGTGGGCTAATGATATCTTTATCCTTCCAGATTGTAGGGTTATATGCAACTCATGGCCACAGCTGTTTCTTGTACCTGGGTAGCATTTTAGTGGATGAATATGCGGGAGAACCCGGCTGTGTTGTAGGGCTGCTTGCCATGCTGGAAGCCTTTACGCAGCCAACTTTTGTGCTCCTTACTCAACCAAGTGGATTTAGGAATCATCCTGACACTGTTGATGACTGGTTCAGATTATGTGCCAGGTGAGGTTTCATGTGTGTAAAGTAAAGAGTAAACGTGAGGAAAAGTGTTGTAGTATTAGTATGGTTTGATTTTGATGGCTTTGCATATGCAGTTAGAGGATAGAAGAGGGCAGATTGCAGATAGTTAATGCAAGGTGCAACTTCATTCACAGGTTCTTGCAACGGGCTCCAGTCGCATTCCTGCAGTGTTCTGCCTTAAATACTATTCTTGAATGTGGTCTTCAGGCTTGTATGCTTGATCACAAAGTGAGTAGAAATCATTCAACTCTTCTAATTTTTCATATGAATTTTTTTGAACTACATTAGTCAGATAAAATAATACTTTTTTACTTGAAAATTATACTTTTTTATTCATGCTCTTTGATATTTCTAGGATGCAAATGCAGCTGTGCTAAAGTTCTTCCAAGACCTGGTAGAAGCTGGGAGGAAACACGAAGATCGACCAGACTTTGAATCTAGACGAACGCTTGTTGTAAATATTTTCAACACTCACGGAGAGAACCTAGTTAGCAACCTAATTACTGCAGCTATCTTCATCCTCCCGCAGTACATGCACCATGATGTGGCTGAAACGTTTTACCAGGTTTGTATTTATCTTTTAGACTGGGGTCCCTCTAATCTTACCACTCTGAAACCAGACTCGGGTCAGGAATTATGACCCCTTTTGGTAAGGTAAGGAGGTCTATTGACTTGTTGGCGGCTGAGCACTTGTTGAGCCACTTATGTGTAGAGACTTAGTGGCTAGAGTGCAAGAGTGAACGCTGGATTTTCCTAGTAGCAGTGGTTAGAAGCAGAATTTTAAATTGTAAAAATATGCTACGAGGAAATAATTCTGTCTGAACACATATTGTCATGTCATTATTCATATTTCGATATGTATATATAGATATGTACATTGCACGCACCCCCCCACACGCACACACTCACAAAAACACATACACATGTTATTCATATGAATTATTTCCCTCCTTTTCGTTTTGAACAGATTATGCAGTTTGACCGTCCAAAATTCTGCCTGTGGTTGGAAGCTAAGTTGAAAGTCCTACCAACAAAGAACTCTGGAGGTGTTGAGGCTGTTACGCAAGCTCAGCTGGTAGAGTTCCACAAGGCCGTCACACAGGCAGAGCGCACCAAGGAGATCACACGAGCACTCGTAGAATTCTCGAGGTTCTTCAGCTGACATGATAAACGCATTAGTTGAAGGAACTGTTGGAGAGAGAGAAAGAGAGAGAGAGAAAGCAGTGGGTGTTGAAATTGATGGAAATGTGATTTGATTAGGTAATAAGGGACACGTTGACAACTTTTATACTACTTGACGAGACAGCGCTTGGGCGGCTGTGGAAAGCAACAGCCAAAGCATAAGAAACGTTCCGGGGATGCAAGTCGGATATTTATAGACAGGGTGAACTTTTTGAGTTTGTTCATGCAAGAGGTTTTTGACGAGTGAAAGAAGAAGAAAGTTCAGAGAATGTTCATGTGGAAAAAAAAGTGATTTAGAGGAAGATTTTGAATGGGCATCATTCAGTAATTCTGGATTCATTGATATATGTATTGCCAAAAACAAAATATTTATTTTATGTTTTGACATTTTTTCAAACCATGCATTACTAACCTCCATGCAATGCATCACAACAAGAACTGAAAGAAATATGCAGAGTGAAAATTAGTTGGAATTTTCTTTTTTATTATTATTATTATTATTATTATTATCTTTCTTTTTTTATTCTTTTCTCCTTTCATAGTACCCTGTTATGGTATACTGAAGAATGAATGAACTTAGATTAATACTGTCCCTGCAAGTGAGTGTGTTCATGAACAGACGCTTGGGTAATATACTTTGTAAAAAATGTAGAGTTGATTTTATATTATTTTCTGAGTTATTGTGCAGAAATTGTTACTTGTTAATTTTATGAAGGGGCATTTGCTGGATTCCAGGTAAAGGCACTGCTTCTTTCTTGTGATACTTGACCAACAGAATCTGATTCTGTCTGATATAGAGTGCGTGCCGGTTCCCTTGGTGGTGTACGGATACCCACAGTGTAAAGAGGTGTGAAAGTTGGTACACGAAAGTAATTTCAGTTTATTATTTGATGTGCATGACAGTTTTGTATATCCATATATGACATCACCTCATCTCAGGCCAGGTAGATTGTTATTTTTTTTTATTATTTGTTTTTTATTAATGTATTTGAGTAATGCACCATTCCTCTTTATTTTCCACTGGATATTGATAAAGCTACCTGGTTGAGAAAGAAGGAAGGGTTTTTTTTTTCAAAGAAGTTAGTAATCGTTGTGAGTGGTTGGCAATGAAGCCACAAACCTTGTACTTCAGGTCTCCTAAAAGAACTTGTATACCGTTGTGCATCAAATAATCGACATTAAAAAAAAAAAAAAGGGAATATTATTACAGCAGCTTCTTGCTCAAGGACACAGTTTAGCTAGTGTGTTTAATATATGTGTTATCTTGGCAATGTTATCCAAAGGTAAGAAGAGTGAATCAGGTTCAGCCTTTCTTTTATTTTTTTATTCATTCTTTTTTTTTTTTTAATTATTTATTTATTATTATTTTCTTTTTCTTTTTTTTTTTTTTTTTTTGAGTCATGTCTACTCTTGGTGGTGATGCTGTTGAGGCCTATCCCCCCCCCCCCCTACTGTCCCCTCCACTCATGACTGCTACCTATGTTTTTGTTACTCTTGGTAAATACAGTCATAATTTCCTTGTAAATGTGTGTTTAAACTTGTTCCTCCCAAGCTAGCAGAACTTTTTTTTTTTTTTTCACTGAGAGAATACAAGGACTTGTTATAACCATAAGTAGTAGGTTGTGAAAAAGAAAAAAATTGTTATAGGTTAAATTTCACCAGATTGTAGTCAGGTTATAGCATTACATTTGAGTACTATAGTTGTCAGAATTGGGTAAAAAAAAATATTTATTTTCAGGAAATTAAAGAAACGGATAATTAGGTAATTCTATTTGATATTTTCTACCACTTTTTTTTTTTTTTTTTTAGGGGGAGTGCAATAAATCTCATTATAATATAACCCCTAATTGGTATCACCATACATCTTTTACTCAGTAATGTAGAATGTTTTAATTCATCCAAAAAGTGAGGGTTTAGCACACCACACCTTAATTGTTAGAGGCCACAGTAGAAATGAGTGCTTTACTTCCATTCTGAAAGGAGTGGGTTGGTTTTGCTTGGCTGGTTTCGCAAGCTCGTACATAGCCAGTTATCTGAGAGCTCATGTGCAATATCTTGAATTGTAGAATGTGTTCTATAGATTTCTAAAGTACAAAAAATACCTGATATACATAATATCAGACTGACCTTAGTCTGAGTGAAGGTATCCTTAGAATTACTGTGTACTTGTCATGCAGACATAACAAGTCTCATATACTCATTAAGTTAATATATTGTTGCTCTTCATATGTATCACTGGATCCTAGTGTATACTGCATGTATAAGTATAATGAGACATTATAAATGGGAAGCTCATGAGATGCACACTGCTTAAATTGTTAAAACCTTGCAACGTGTATTAGGTCCAAGTGAGAAAAATTCAAGTGAAGCATTTCATCCACATTTCCACGACAGTCGTTCTTCAGTAAGAAAGAGAAAAAAAACAAACAAACACAGATAAGAAGTATGGCCTAGAAGACATCACACTTCATCTCAACAGATTCACGGTATAATTTGAAAAGATTTAAAAAAAAAAAAAAAAAGGAATAGGTGAATGACCGTCTGTTTTCTTTTCGGATGTCAAAAATCTCTCTTGCACCTCGTCTCCTGCATCATCTATTCGTCATTAAGAGGATTTCACAGCACGTCACTCACTCCATAGATGATATACTTCACAGACAATGGATTCCAAGTTGCTGCCTCAAGATGGCCCTACATCATCTTCAAATTGAAGTTATTATTTTTTATTTTATTTATTTATGATTTTAGAATGATAATTCATGAAAATAAAAAGTGATTAAAATTCAGGATATTATTATCAGTGAATCTGCATTGATGATTGATGGGTGTTACTTATCTCTTATTTATTATTTTGTCGAATAAAGAACAAAAGTTCTAGCTGGCTGATAATGAAGAGATAAAGATATATGTAGTGAGAGGTGAAATGAGATGGCTTGCTTAAAAGATTGAACATAGCCCTACTAGCACAGCATACCTGGAAAGTGAAGGTTTTTTGTTAACTAGTCAAAATTTTGTTTTATTTACATTTGGGATGACAGTAGAAGTAAAGGTTCAAATCCATTGATGACATAGATGTTGAGGACAAGAAGCATTGTCTAGAAAGTCATATCTACCTTCTGTTGCAAAGATTGGCTTTTCCGAGGCATTTCATTTCATACCATTATTGAATTGAAACCCCTTTATAACTTTTTAAGGTACGTCCATACTGCTGCAAAACATACCAAACCCACGTCAGGGACCATATGGCATACATATCACAGACTGAAAACAAGTCAACGACGAAACGATAGTCTATTAAATATTTTTATACTTTTTATAATATTTTCAAATTTTAATTTATTACTAATCCTCTAGCTATCGTGGAGTTACTTCCGGGTTGTTTTTATATGAATGCGATATAGTCCTCAATGTGAGTTTTTAATATGCTGTGCTATAGTGTGGACGATTCTCGAGACAGCTTACATATGTAATATAGTATACAGTACATACATTTTTCTCTCAAAAGATTATACATGAAGTTCAATGGATCTTTTTCACCATGAGTTTCATGGTTTCTCATATAGTCATTAAAGAAGAAAACTACTTTTGATAACAATTTGGATAAAGCATGTTTATTTGTGGTCCAATAAGTCTTCATTACTTTGGTCCAATACCTATACAAAAGGAGGATTTTTGGAGTCCGGGGTGGCCGTAGCTTACCGTACATAGTAACAACTAATAATGGTGAACACAAACACAGTGGCGTGTACACAAAGATGAAAAGGGAAAAAAAAGCCCAGTAAGAAAAACAATATCGTGCCGTTTCTAATTCTTCACAAGTTCCTCTTCAGACAAATAACCCAAAAGAATGATCCAGGGTTCGAAACGTTACGATGTTTCTTTTCTTATTGTGTCTGTTTCCCTTTCAATTAATAATGAACAAAATCCTTCTTTCTGGCAAAATACAATTAAATTTTAATTTAGAATGATCTCGGCACTGATTACATTCTCTGAGCAATAAACCCCTGGATCAAATTCCCAACAGGTTTGTCACACCATCACTTAAAAGAATTGGACGATACTGATTTTTTTGAGGGTATCCAATACGTCCAGTGCCCCCCAATCCCTTTCCCTTCACCGACCTCCCAACCTATCAGACATCCTTACAGAATCCCACACTTTCTGCATCAACAACCTGTTCTCTTTCCTCAAACGCATACATATCCTTCATGTAATCTAACACCCGACCTTAACCCTTTCACTCACCAATTCCTTTGCCCAGCTTAGACAACTAATCACTAACTCGACCACCCTTCACTAACATTAACTATAGTGCTACATGACCTTAGATGTCTAGCACATTTATCTTGCTTTTAACCATTAACCATTAACCCCCAATCCCTTATCCGTTGGTCTCGGCCTTCGACTCTCGTCTCCTTTTCCTTATCTTCCGCAATCCCTTCCCCAATTCCTATGACATGCAAGTCGTGTTGAAAGAATGAAAGGCTGACTTTATGCCATGGGCACGGTATTTCCTTGGTTCACCGCCCCCCCCCCTCCACACACGTTGCTGTGAGGCTTAGGAGGCGGAGACAGGCCCAATGCTGGGATCACCCCTAAATCGAGAACTCCTAATTACCCTTTTCGACACGACCACTTTGGAAATCCACAAACATTGCCTTACTCGAACTAAAAAACTTTACCTGGGGGCTTTACCCCTAAGCCCCACCCTATCTCTACATTTTGTATACGCCGCTCGACGCGGCAGAAAAATTTCAATAAATAAATGAAATTGTCCAGCCCTTAGTCCACATGGGGACCCTGAGGGGTAGACCTTTTATCTTCCCCACATATTTCAGGCTTACTATGGCCAGTAAGTCTCCCTTATTCTAACTCCTGACTCCTACTACAACTCCCTCCTCGACTCGACACTATGTCGACTTGACCTATCCCGAATCATATACTCAAGTTATAACTCGGCCTTCAAAAGATATCTTTCTCACTCCCAATATCCTTCACTCCATTTGCACAATCATCTTTATTTTCTATCTCCTCCGTTATTACAGATCTTCAACCTTATTGCTCTTCCCCCACAGTACTATCTCATTCCACACCACTCCCTCTTCCTCACATCCTCGTCCCTCTACAATTTCCACCTCTACAAACTTTTGAGTACTCTGTATGTGACAGGCTCCTTACTCTGACAATACCCTCATCATGACCTACCCCATGAGGTAGAGGTCTGTATAGGCGGAGAACCTTGTCCTATCAGATCATATCGACCCCCACCCTGTCACTGTCAGAAATGCTGGTGTTTTAACCACCCTGCAAAGCACAGTACGCTACTCCCTCTATTCTCATCCTGGTCATGACCATTCAAACCGCTGCAAAATCACGTACATGTCCTGATTGCGGCGGCTCCTATGATGTATTTTATAGAGGCTACCCTACCAATAAGTTTGAGTCTGAGGTAGCAATCCTCAGATACAGACTGGGCCACACTACGAGAAGCCAGACAGAACACAGGTCAACGAGTTTTTTTCTATCACTCACTATTCCAATGTTATCCTTTATTCCACTCTTTTCCCCGCTACCGAAGTTGTGTCTTCACCTCTTCATGAAAATCCTTCGTTTCCTAAACCTCCCCCCCCCCCCCACCCAACTCCCCTCCAGACATTAGAAACTTCCTAAGCGTGACCCAAGAGAATGCTCCTCTCTCATCCATCCTCCATTTTCTCTACTCATTCCGTCTACTTTCAAAGCCACTGCCAACATCCATCCTCCTCCTCCTCATATTCCACCTACTCCCTCCCAACACACCCCAACCTCCCCTTCATCTACGCCAACCCCACTTCCTTCCCCATTGTCACAACAAATGTCCTTCCTCGAACCCCACCTCCCTTAATGAACCTGATACTACACTTCCTTCCCCTGATCCCCCACCTCAATCCCCGTGTACTCATCCTACTTCCCCAACACCCATTTCTACCCATAATGCCCGTCGATTACTTCACAATGGCTGTTCTACAGTGGAATATTCCGAGGTTTTCGTTCTCACATGCTTGACCTTCGTCACCTCCTATCTTCCTACAGTCCATCCATTATTTGCCTCCGAGAGACTTTCCTAGCACATCCTCCAGATTATCATTTTGTACCATCCCCTTACTCTCTATCTCCTCTATATTCGTCCATCAAAAAACACCATACGCCATACCCCCCCTTTAAACCACTGTCCCAGTCATTTGCATCTTTCATCGCCGCTGGATCGCAATATTTTTAAGTTACTTTTCCCCTTCTCTTCTCATTTACTTTAAAGCTTTTCAAACCTTACTTTCCCAACTTCAACCATCACTTTTCATAGTTGTTGATTTCAACTGTCGCCACGCTCTCTGGATGACGAACTACTACTTCTCGAGGCCGTTCCCTGGAACGCTTTCTTCTAACGTTCACCTTATCTTTCTTAATTCAGACTACCCTACCCTTTATTTCATGCCTTGACCTTTCTCTTTGCTGTCCTTCCCTTCATCAAGAATTTCTTTGGTCAGTTCTGGATCACCTTCCCTATAGTGACCACTTTCCTATTCTCCTCTCTCCTACTTCCTTTCGCTCTTCTACTTCCCGTTCCTCTACCCCCCCCCCTCCATGTTGATGCTTTCATAGAGCAGACTTGCGTAGTTTTACCCATCTCTCTATTCTTCCTCTTCCTTCATCATCCTTCTCTTCCACCTCAGACATGCTTTCATATTCACACTCACTGTCTAGAGTCCTGCCTTAACAGCCGTTCCCTGGCCTTCCCGACCGTATACATCTAAATGTCTTCCATGGCGGAATACTGAATTGAAGCATGCAGCATGGAACAGTTATCGCTACAAGCAAAACAATCCCAGACACTCAACCCTAATCAGTTTTAAAAGAGCATCCGCTTGACTACACAATCCGAAGCTCTATTAAAAACAGCTGGCAAAATTCGGTTTCCTCAATTACCTCCTCTACGCCTGTTTCTAAAGTCTGGCGCAGAGTCCATAAACTACCGGGGGAAACATTCTTCTCGTCCTGCCAATGTCCTCCATATCCGTAATACTTTTATCTCTGATTCTTTCCAAGTTGCTAATGAACTTGGTGCATATTTCAGCCAGGTTAATAGAGGCTCCCATCTTTTCTCCCCATCTCTGTCCCATTAAAACACCCAAGGAACACACTCACACCTTATCCTTTACAGAACCCTATAATGCCCCTTTCCTCTCCTGAATTCCTTTCAGCCTTACAGTCGTACCACAGCACGCGTGAAGGTCCTGGCGGTATATATTACCGTATGCCGCGACATCTCCCACCTACCTCCTTATCCTTCCTACTGCCAATTTTCAACAGTATCTGGACAGCTGGAAACTTTCTTCTTAAACGACTTGAAGCATTTATCCTACTTTTCCTTAAACCTAATAAATCCTGTGCCCTCCCTCAAGGCTACCGCCCCATTGCTCTGACTAGCTGTTTATGCAGCCTTCTCTCTTCTTCTCAGTTCGGATTCCGTCGTGCTCGAAACACAGCTGACATACTTGCATATTTAGTAAATTACATCACATCTGCCTTTGCACCTCGTATTTCAGTATCAGCCGTTTTCTTCGACCTGGAAAAGGCAAGTGATTCAACATGGCGATACCACATTCTTCAGCAGCTATCATCTCAATTCAGTGCTCCCCTGGCCAATCTGTGGGCGATCCAGCAGTCGGGAGAATCAGTGGTAGCACGGGCATCTTTCTGAATGTGTTTGTGTATCTTGTATCACAGGGTATACAGGCTGTCTCG